ATGGGGGGGTAGGGGCAGGAGGATGGGGGGGGTAGGGCAGGAGGATGGGGGGTGGGGTAGGGCAGGAGGATGGGGGGGTGGGGGCAGGAGGGATGGGGGGGAGGGGGAGGATGGGGGTGGGGTAGGAGGATGGGGGTGGGGGGGAGGATGGGGGGTGGGGCAGGAGGATGGGGGTGGGGCAGGAGGATGGGGGGTATGGCAGGGGAGGATGGGGCGGCAGGAGGATGGGGGGTAGGGCAGGAGGATGGGGGGTAGGGCAGGAGGATGGGGTGGGGCAGGAGGATGGGGGGTAGGGGAGAGGAGCGAGGATTGGGACAGGAGTGGCGGGATGATTTGGAGTAGGAGGGGGAGGAGGGGGAGCGAGGATGTGGGGCAGGAAGAGGGGGAGAAGGAGCTTGCTGACAAAACATACAAACACCTCAATATCCTTCATACACAGCAAGCAAACAATCCAAACACGACATGAATCATACACTTGTGAGGAAACCACATCGACAAACACCTCAACATTTTCACAATATACAGTAACTAGACCAACGTACACACCAAACAATACACATCTGTAGACAACGGACATGATTACAGCAGAAGGGAAACATGATATAAATTGCCAATCACAATGAAAATAAACATTGTCTATGTGTCTTCCCATGTACCGTAGAGCCATCTTGAGAATTAAGCCTGACGTCACACTAACCACGTACAGCAATTTCCGAGTTTTATAAACCTATTCTCAGAACGCGGCCACCACAACCATGCCTGTTCACGGAGACCATTACGTCAACTCCCACTACTCGGAAACATAATCTGGGAGGTGTTGGTCATCCAATTGGGAAACTGTTACTTAAAAAAAAAATTCCCCCTGAAATGAGCTAAGTTGTTATAAATATAAATCCCATAAAGTTGACATTTTTACTAGTGGCAACAATACACCCGCTAACATATTACATTTACTGGGCATGACTACTGGGCATATCCGGAGTTGTTCTTATTTATTACAAATGAACCGCCGCCAGCTCTTACGCGCGTCCAGTTCTCTTGACTGGTGTTACCACTTAAAACTTGTTTACATTGCTTACAGCTAAATCGCGCTTGATATATTAACACTCTGTCTTAATTTAAAATTGGTTGTATAAACGCCACACAAATGCACACCAGATGAGCTAATTTAAGTTTGAAAGCCAAATAAGGGATTAACATCAAGCCTCGCGGTGTAAGCTCGAGCTGATCACGAATCGGACCTGTGTACAGTATAGGTTAATGCGAAGCCTTATATGCTGACATGATGCAACCGTGAGCGTCCGGAAACAAATCGTTGCCAAGCTTCATGGTACAAGACAACCCATACCCACGCCCCACCCACCCCTCTTCTTCCTCCAGCACACCGTGACGTAACCACTACCCAAACGTTCTATGAGGCGCACCCAACACAACAACTCAAAACACTATCCTACTGTGGTACATATTTCTTGTTAGTCGAACGAGCAGCTTAAATTTCGTTTCAGGAAATTTCCGACAATACCCAAACGTTTTGTGAACGAGATACGCCTGACAGGTTTTCTTTTAAGAAACTTGCAACACACAACACAATACGCCCACCCAAACGTTTTGTCCTCGCGCCAGAGTATTACCCAACACAGCTACTTTTTTATATACTAATGGAGTGAACAACGATTTTAATTTTTTTTCGGGAAATCTATACACCAGAGTAAAGCGAGTGACATTTAACCCTTCTCCACACGGGCGGGCAGGGCGGAAATGATGAATAATAACCACTTCCATGAGGAGACACATACTGCCCTTCCGCTCTCACTGTCCAGCTCCACTACACCACCGGAAGTGTTATCACAACCACAGCTTCTACTGGGAGTGTTATCACGGTTTTAATGTTAAAACAACCATTGCTGGGGGTGTGTTAGGAATTATCACAACCACCGCTGGAAGTTATCAATTATAACTTACATCAATACAACCAGATAGGAGTGATACCGGTTTTAATATTATAACAACCACAATTAAAATGTTAGCCCATCCCTGGCCTCTCCTGGAATGTTAGTCATCACAGCCATTGTTAATAGTAGTATCGCTAACATCATAATGCTGTCACTAGAACAGCTTTTTGTGACACCATAACCACAACAACGATGCATTGCTCAAACAGCAACCCCACAATAGGTATGTTTCCACCACGACCAGAATATCATCACAGTTAACAATAAAACCAAACTACAGGACATGTTAAAATATTATAATTACACTTTTACACAATTACTCTAACACAACAGACACCATGCTGAAATTCAATAAAAAAAAACCCTCATGAACTCTAACGATTCACTCAGTACATCAAACACGGTAATTCTCTCACCCACTGCACTGCCATCGTAAAAACTAAACGTAATACCAATTATCCCGATTTTATTCATGCTCTACGAACAAATATATCCACCGAACAGCTGTGGAGAACATGTCAACGAATCCCAGCAACCCACTTGAACTTTTTTAAGATCTAATAATCCCTTATAAGTGTGAGGGGTGTTGGGGTGCCGTAGCGGGGATAAAGGAGAATGCCGTCGGAGCATGGCGAGGCTGTTCCTCTCCTCCAGCGGGGAACAAAGGGATACTTGTGCCGGGTAGACAGCGTGGTCCTTCTTCCGCAACACCCGCGCCCTCCAAGGCGCTCTATCTCTCTCTCCTCTGAGCTGTCTCACTCTAGCTAGCAACTCTGTGGCAAGTTTAACTGCACAGAACTTCCAAATGACTCTAACGAGCAAACTAACCAATCTATACTCGACCGTAACTATCATGCTCTATGTAAACAAATCTAGTTACACATGGAAAATCAAGTTCACTATAGCTCAAATTGACAGAATTGGAAGTCTCCCTTCAAGTAAAGCTGTCTCGCTCAATCTAGTCCCCACAACAGTTATTCCCTAGTTCTGACCACCACACAAACCTTCGGTGGTCAGCGCTCTTCACAAAATTCTACATCATCCGGGCACACAGCGGGTCGAGCATTGTACCTAAAACACACGTCACGTCACTTGTTTATGGCCAAGCCGTGAGGCCACCACCACCTCCGCTGGTCTTGTAATCCCAAAACAGTTCAGTACTTCAGTGGGAATAATTACTGTTTCCCCGTGCATTTATTATATAGTAGTAACATCAGAACAACCTGCAGATGCCGTTTACATTGCGGTTCGACCAAGAACAGGGAATTTTACTGCCCCCTAACCTCATGAGACGACAGTGTGACCAATGAAGTGTAACCAATGTCAAGCCTAAAAGATACACACAATCATAAAACCAGACCGTTCGCACCAGAGGAACACTAGACTACCCGACTCTGGTGGTACTGATGCACTTAAATTTAGCTGGTACACGTAAATTCCACAGATAAACAGACGGGAATCACCAGAAAAGTGTTTAGTTTGTCGTAGCTGCACTAAAACTAAGATTATCGATCATCCGTATAATATGTAGTCATTCGATGCTCAACGTGATATGCGACGACTAGATGAAGACAATACAACCATGGCGTAAAAGAAATTCTAAAAAAATAGCGTTTGTTGAAGAGATACTACAATAATACCCGAGCCATAACTCCCCCCAAATAAAACAAATTAATGTTTTTTTCTTATATTCATCAACATACTTAACTCCGCATAGTAGACAAGATGAGGGACATAAATACAGCACATTAACCTAATTACTACTCATGTTTAACCCAATTACTTTCTCACAAAAAATATAATACACGAAACATAGCCAGACATTGCAATCTTGCAACACCAGCAGGGAACGGCCAACACTCGTGCACAACACTGCTGATGGGCTATGAAGTGTAACGCCTCAACGCGGAGTCCTGTGTACACGTTTCAGCGCGGGCAGCCCACGCCCAGATATTAGCATGAATTACCATATCCTATCCATCACCTTCAACAGCTCTCGCAAATTTTCCCACGATAAACCCATTTACGCAGATTATCATTTATTTTGGGAAACGTCAAAATCAAGATGTTTCAACGATAATAATGCCATGATATTCTACGGAAACAATCCGTTTATGAAGTGAAAAGCTATCAAGATTGAAGACTCGCTAGCATTTTTTAAAATTACTGGGACACGGTTAAGTGCCTGGCCAATACAATATAATGCGGTTCACAAATACATGAACAATAGGTAAAAAAAAACGTGGACGCGTAGGTGTCACAATACCACTAGCTAACCGCAACATAAAATAAAAACAACCGCTGCTTCCACAGGTGCAACTGGGTACAGGTGTTCCGAGAACAAAATCTTGTACGTGGATTCAACATAATATTCCCCGCTGCCGCACGCGATATACACCTGTCCTGCAGGTGTTGAACACGGGTGCTTACGGCAACAACACCTGTCACCACTGTTCCCGTTAACAGGATAAAGATAAGCGATCTAAATTACATTGAAACTAAGATGTCCCGACACCTAATGTATCAAAAGAGACAACAGGCATGGATGGATCAGTTGTTGAAGCCCGTTAACATCTATCGTCGTGCACGCTGATCAGCCCGCCCAAATTCTAAGAGCAATCACCGATAACAAATTGATTGCTTAAATTTACCGGGAATTCATCAGTGTGCAATAAAATATAATGTGTAAGAGCAACAACCACAAGTAAATATTTATCATGCAGAACATATGTAACAAAACTCCGAAGATAACAAAAATTCAATTTACACTAAATATTAACAAAATAAGCGTCCCAGTAGGCTATATTCAACCAGGCATTAATAACAATGAAAACAAGTTTACTGAACTATTCAAGAATTGATTACCAATACAATAAAATCAATCAGGTTATTAATGCGTTGAATGTGAGGTAGATTTACTGAAGGACAGATCAGGATGACTGTCTGAACTAAACACGTGTGATTAAATAGTCATCCCAATATTCCCGTTTCAGTAAATATCCACGAAATTCCCATATGCAAATTAATACTTATTTTCATGACACTTACCATGATTAGTTTGTTTGGGGTCTTGTCCGGATACTCCTATGATGGCTTTAATCCGCTGTCCGGAGTGTTGGAATCCGGAGGACACTAGACCTCACCATCCGGCCATCAAGACAATCCCTGGCGATCACCGAACACGATAGTCTCCAAGACACTCGGATGTATGGAAATTGGTTACCCTTTTTTTCCGTAAGGTCTGCCAAATTGCGTACCGATGAGGCAAACAACGAAATATGGCTAAGTCTCACTGACTGGATACACTCGATAAACTCATAAAATCTTTGGTTTCCGATAAATATGAAAAAAAGGGTTCACAAATATATCGATATCACCAGATTAATTATAATGAACAAAAAAACAATTTCACTTTTGCTTTTCTCGTGATTATATTGCTCAACACTGGACCGCTGCGATGGTCTTTGTTGATCTCTCACTATCTCACACCAAGGAGGTCACCATTCGACAGGGTAAAGGCTCTGACCATCCAATAGCCGTGAAATTTGCTAGTAAGCTCACGGACCAAAGCGCTGCACGTCCATACGCCTCGCCAGTCGTGACCGAACTGAAGCAAGGGAGCGTCTCAGCTCAGTCGTATAGAGTGGCCTGCGCTGACTAGCTGCGCGGGTGCCGACTCAGTCTGAGGTGGTGTGTGGCGCGACGGCTGCCCCAAGCACGCCTCCCAGACGTTCTTCTTCATTAATTATCAACTATCATGACACATTTACACTCTTAATTCACGCGCTGCTCATCAGCGGCACTTCTTGGCAGTGAATTGGCAAGGCGAAACCAAAGCAAACACTGGAGACGGACGAAGAGTGTGACTGAATATAGTGGGATCTTGATAAGTTATAAGAAGTCACTTGGTCATCTGGCGCGAACAGGCCAAGCAAGTCACTAAGTTCGTGGAAGACAGTTGTCGGGAGTCGCTAGTGGTGCAATTTCTCGCCAAACTTCCCCCCAACCGCAGCAGCCACTGTTGTTGGTGGCGGCGCGGGGGAGATTCCAGAATGAAGTTGCTAACTGGTGTTGTCTTGAGGTTGTTGCATAACGCCTCGCTAGAATACACCCCCCTCCCCCCAAGAGTTTTTTTGTTGACTTGTAGTTATTTCTTATGCTAACAAACACGCGCGGTGTAGTTTATTTTGAACACCACACGAGATGATATTTACATAATGACCAACTAAATCTTGATGCATATGATGATTTATTGTTATAGAGCTCAGCACTGTCACGGCACTTTTAGCTTTAAACAGTTAATTCATTAATGTTCACGCATACGGGAACTTTAGTACGGGTATAAACTATAGAGTTTTATACCGAGATTAAGTATATCACAATAGTTTACCACCGTCTTAATGCAACACTTATGTAAAACTTAGACAACAGTCATTTAATATACAAGGAAAATACTTAGCTCAGACACTCGACCTTGCGTTCAGTATAACTCGACTTGATAGGTACAGCATAAGAAATTTCTTTTAAGTTTCAATACAAAAAATACGACTTTTGTTCCCTGCTTGTGAAGAATCTTTATTGGTGATTTTTGTTGAGTTCACTCTCCCGGGAACACGAACACAAGATAGCAATGGCTGATGTTAAGAGGACGCTTGTCTCACCGGCTTACCTAAACCTGTCTACACTGAGGGAGTTTACCTCAACCTGTCCTTACTATTAAGACATTGTACCTCAACCTAACTAACCAGCTAACTGATAACTTGATTCACTAACCCTTTCCAACTTATTACTGACATACACCGTACTAAATTTCTTAACTGACCAACCGATTGACTAACTAATCTAACTCACTCAATATTAGAGACCCATCAAACACTTGTCAGTCGTCTACCTGCTGTGCACAATATGTGATTTTTACCTGTAGTGTTGATTCTATTTACATAACTGTATACCTGTCTCTGTTTACATAACTGGTGGGGTTTTTTTTTGGCGTCAACAACCACAACGATGGATGATTCGTTGCATCTGTTGCAGGATGATGTCAATTTTGTCTCTCTCTCTGAAGTTCCGTCACTGTGTAAACTTGTTTGGGGGCGTTGTTTTCCTCCCTTGCACGTGTTACCCCGTTTCCCGTTACTTAAGAGGAGGGGGTGACCCGTGTTCAATGTGCCCAGGAATTCCTCTTGTCACTGTGTTGTCCGGGTTTACCTGTCCGTGTGTGTGTGTTGCTGCGTCAGGCTTGTTAACTTGGAAATGTTGTTAACTGTTTTGCATGTGTTGCCAATCGTGTTGAATAGGTTATCACTTGCGTTGCATAGGTTACCACTTGTGTTGCGTATTATGGTATTTATATTGCACATGTTACCAATTGTGTTACATGTACTATTAATTACGTTAATTACATTCCTAATTATGTTGCGTGTGTTATTAGTCCCTTAAACACACACACACACGCGCGCACACACACACACGCGCACACACACACACACACACACACACACACACACACACACGCACATTTTACTAACTTACACGTGTTGCTCATTACGTTGCACACGGCACACGTTACTATTCACATTGCACATACTGTTGCATTGTCTATTACGCTGCAAATGCAAACTTATGGATGGAAGTTCCCTCAGATTTTATTTCAACTCCGGGTAAAAGTATGTCAGTCCCGTTTACGGTAATACTGACCCTCGGGTGTTGTAGGGGGCGACACTGAAGCCCTCTACCAAGACTTCTACAACATACTGTATTGTGTTGTAGTGCCTCAGTCGACACATACAGTAGACAGTATGTTGTGGTTATGTGGTTGTATTTTATGAAGATTAAGATAGGAACTGTGTGTGTGTGTGTGTGTGTGTGTGTGTGTGTGTGTATAATGACATATACACGTACAAACTCTGAAATCTATCGACCACAGGTAAAGCCAAGATAACATCCACAGGTGTTTTATCAGAATCCTTTCATTGAGAGACCACCTTGCTCGAGTGACTCACCTGAAGATTAACCCCCCTGCTTATTATACCCATTTCTAATCACCTTAACGCTAATCTAATCTAACCTGGACCAACCTAATCTAGACTAACCAAACCTAACCCCACACCAGCTAGCATTAAGGCGGTGTTTAGTCTTCAGGTGAATCATTATCTCAAGGTAATGGCAGGTAAACTGTCTATGTATGTATGTATGTATGTATGTATGTTAACTCTCCACCAATCATGATTTCAATAATATAATAATTTGTCTCTTTTCAGATATCAACCCTGAGAACAAACTAATTATGTAGACCAATAGCGAACCAGGACTGAATTATGAACAACCAATCACAAGCCTTGGATCTTAAAGCAATCATGCCAGTCATTAGGGATCCAGGACTCTCAGTCGGGTAGGTCAACCAATCGGAAGACAAAGACCCTGAATATACACCAACCAATAGCTAACCAGGACACTGACGAACGAAGACACTGACGGGCCAATAGCGAACTAGGACACTGACGGGCCAATAGTGAACCAGGACACAGACAGGCCTACAGCCAATAGCGAACCAGGACACTAACGGGCCAATAGCGAACCAGAACACTGACGGGCCTACAGCCAATATCAAGACCGGACTCAGGCAACCAATAGCAACTCGAGCAAGGCAGATCTGCTTCATCATGTGGTGAGGTAGTAACACCTCGCCCACCCCACCATAACCCCACCACAGCCCCCTTCACCACCCCCACTCCTGGACGACCCCCTCCACCACAACTCCCTCCCGGATGACGGAAACTGGACAAAACCTACCTAGGACAAAATCCCCTGGACAAAACCCCCCCTCAGGTAAACATAAAAGTGGGGTTTGTCCTGCATTCCTGGACGACGCATAGTCTGGTCATACTTGTGGGCGGCGCTTGTGTGTGGTGGTTGTGGGCGGCGCTTGTGTGTGGTGGTTGTGGGCGGCGCTTGTGTGTGGTAGTTGTGGGCGTTCTTGTAGGTGATGACCATGGTGGTGATGGTAGTAGATGATAATAGTGGTGTAAGTACATGGTGCTGATCGAGTAGGTAGTCACACACATCAGAACAGCCCTGTGAATATAGACAGGTAAAAAACAGACAGACAGACAGACAGACAGGTGTACCAGAAGTCTAAATATAAATCATAAAAAAAAAAATTAATTAGACGTCGGAGAACTCATAAACAATTAGACGGTTTATTTACACTATATCCGGATTACTGATCGACGAACGAGAGTGAAAGTTTATTACTGTATATATGTAAGAGAAAAATAAATACAATAATATTAAACTTCTCGATTACTGAGCTCTGTGTATTGCAAGGAGATGTATTTATTTATTTTTTATCCGATTATTATCAATGAAGAGGTAGGAGGAGGCAGGAGGGAATAAGGAGGAGATAATTAGAGGTGATAAACTATACAAGGCAGGATTCCACAGCATAATTCGGGGGTCCTGGAATTTCCTCTTGAAAGCAACTCTGGAATGTGTAAGGTCCACCCCCTTGGCCACCCAGGAGGAGGAGGAGGAGGAATGGTAGAAATAAGGGAGGAGGAGGAAGGGAAAGGAAGGAGAGGGGGAGGAGGAAGGAAAAGGAACAGAAGAGGAGAAGGGGAGGAAGAAGGGAATGGAAGGAGAAAAAGAAAAGGGAAAATAAGGAAGGGAAGAGGAGGAGGACGAAGAACGGCGAGAGGATGAGGAGGGCGAATCAGAAAATAAGAACAAGAAGAGGAACAAGAACGAGGCGGAGGAGGGGGAGAGAGAAAGAGAGAGAGAGAGAACGGCCAAAGAAAATGAAAATAAACAAGGGAGACGGCGACAGGTGAATCAAAAGTTGAAAACGAGAGGAAGAAGACGAAACAAGAAGAAATATTAGATATACAGCAGCAAGACTAAACAGCAGCAGGCGAACGAAGAAAGTGGGAAGACGGTGAAGACAAGAGAATCGAAAACAGAAAAAAAATAAATCGAACCAATAAAACAGGTGAATGAAGACAAACTAACAGAGAAGAAGAAGAAGAAGAAGAAGAAGTTAATGATGAAAGAAGAAGAAGAAAAAGAAGATTAGACAACAACAGTAAACAAAACCAACACGGAACGAAAGAACAGGGGAAGAACACGAGTGAAAGATAACATAAGAGAGAAGAAGAGAAAGACAGACAGACATATTCTCTCTCTCTCTCTCTCTCTCTCTCTCTCTCACACACACACACAAAACTACTCTGACCACGCCGCCCACAACCACCCTTGCCGCCCACGTGTCCTCGCTCGCGTGCACAGGTTGGATCTTGTCTGGCAGGTGTCTGGGAGGGAGGGACTTAGAGGGGGGGGGGTGTTAGGAGGAGGAGGGTAAAGGTGAGGAGGGGATGAAGGTGAGAAGGGGGTGAGGGTGTTGTGGAGAGGGGGGAGAGGAAGAGAAAGGGTTTAAAGGGTTACAGAAGATGAGGAGAGGAAGAAGGGGGAAGAGAAGAGGAAGGGAGATAGAGAAGCAAGGAGGTGGACAGGGGTTTGGGAAGAGAGAAGGGGGAGGGAGTGAAAGTGAAGAGAAAAAAATAAGAATAAAATTACGTGTATAGATTTCTCTCTCTCTCTCTCTCTCTCTCTCTCTCTCTCTCTCTCTCTCTCTCTACACACACACACAATACCATAACTCAGGTACCATAAG